GGACTGCTGGTTTCAAGGGATATGGTAATGCTGCCAGTGACAGGCAGCCGGGGCCAGGCGCCTGCTACTGCTGCCACTGCTCAGTAGCACTGCCGCGGAGGCGGGAGAGGCTCGCCAGCAGTGAGCCCAGCATCTGGCACCCAACTCTTGTGTTAAGCGTCTGCCCCCTGGTGGTCAGTGCGTGTCATAGCGACTGGTCAACTGGTCGTTCGACCATTCAGTCACTTAGGGTTTTTTATATATAGATGAATAAAGACTATTATTTTGTCACAACTAAAATGCACATGATAAACCACTAAATCTGATTTTTAGTCTTAGTTCTGTTGACTATGGAATTAGGAGATTTGAGTCAAAGCTAGCAAAACACAGGCTAGGTAGTGGCAAACACTTCAGAGCATGAGATGCACTGCAGAAAGTTGGTGGGTGTTCTTTTGTTGGGATTTTTGAGATCCAGCAGTGCTCCCCTTCTATACGTTATGGGACTCTGGCCTGATGGGTTTCAAGAGCTGATTTAGTCCAAATGGAATTTCTGATGAACTCACCATTGGATATGCCCGCTACATCAGGCAAGATCGGCCCTGCCATCCTCATCTTCATAAGGGAGAAACTGGGAAATATTAATTCTTCTACTTCCAAGCTAAAACGAACCTCAGAGATGATCTGGCCCTTAGCCCTCACTTTACAAATGGGGAAACCAGCCTAATGAAGAAAAGAGTGGTGGACATGATCACATGACTGTTGGGGCAGAGCTGGGTCTAACTGTAGATGGCCTCCACCTCTTCTTAGCAACTGGAGGTGCAAGGCCCTCTGGGAAGCCAGGGAGCCCTGGGTCTTTGCTGGACTCTGCATGCCTGGGCCAGGACTCCCCCTGCCCTGCCCCGCACACTCGGGATTCTCTCCAGCAGTGTCTCCGGAACCATTCCTGCCCTCGCAGCCTTGCAGCCAAGGAGAAAGGCAGCTCCAAGGTCATAACTTAACCTGCATAATTAGAACATTCATTCCAGAGGGGGAAACATTTAAAAGATAAAGGACCTCTTTAAAGCAGATTCTTCCCCAAACATTTCCCCCCATAATTATAGTTGTGAGAAGTTATGGCGATGGCGGAGCTGGCTACTTAAGAAAAATTAGGACTCTCATTTGGCAGGAGAGGATTTCCCAGGGGACAGCACACTGTCATTTTTTTAGGGCCCCCAGAAAGGAACCACACGCCTATGGCTACAGGCCAGCCTGATGCATGGCAAGTTTGCTTCACTTATTATGGCCAATCAATGTCTCCCCAGAGAACGTAAAGCACTTCATATGCCACTAACTGTTGTTCCCCCTCCAGTCCCCAGACACAGGAGTTCGAGGAGATAGAAACAAGTGGATGCATTGGAGATGCACAGGGAGACCACCGCCTACTGAGTCCCAGCCTGCGCGCCTCCCCAGCAAAATGCCTCTGCCAGCAAGGTGTTCCCTCAGTAATTGTCACAGTTTAAGGCAGTTATCGTGACAGGAGGGGCCGCGGGGAGGGGCCAGGAAAGAGAGTCACACGCCACCACCTGCCTTAACTTCTGAGCAAACCCTCCTGTTACAAATAACCTTCGTGATAAATAAAGTGCTATGGCCACCTATGGGGCTGTGGCTTTATTTTCTTCCTTGTTAATTTCATTTATTAATTTATTTTGCACAAAAGTTCCATTTGGGGGGTAATCACTACCCAACTGTGAGCTCGGTCAGATAGGAGTTTCAATGGAGACGACACTTGTGTAATTGTAGGCGGTTCAAGTTTAAAAATTTCAGCCTGATTTGGACTGTCACTGGCCAGACCACCTCTCTTCCCAGAGGAGCACCAGCAGGGCAGCTGGATTTAATTTTCGGCTGCTGGATGGTCCCTGTGCTGTCCTGGGGCAGCCCACAGACTGAGTGGCTTCCCTTTAAGGATGTTATTCAAGGTGACAGCTCCTCACATGTTGGCACTCTGATCACCCTCAGTAGCCAAGGTATCGGGGGTGAGCGGGCTCCTCCTGCAAAGTCCAGATTTATGGACTGAGGTCATCCATAGGCCCCTTGACCCCAGCGCTCTCACAGACAGGGCTGCCAGGACCTTTACTGCCACAGTGAGTTTTGTAAAGACGTCTGGGGAGAAAGGCTGCAGGAGCCGGTGGAGGAAACCCCAGTGATAGGGAGTGATGTCAGCTTTTGTTAGAGCCGCAGACAGCGTTAGACTATCCTTGGCATAATATGGCACTGGTATCTCTGTCAGCATCTCTGTTTTCTGTCATCACACACAATCCTGGGCCTGTCTCCTGCCCTGACAGTGTCTGTTCAGATCAGGGTATTGCCCGCACAGAGACCAGCCCTGCTCCCTGCCACACAGCCCCTTTGTTTGAAGTCTGCCCTTTTGTCATTAATGCACTTGGTGTCTATTTAAATCTGACAGTGAGTGTGGTATCTGTTTTCCCGTCAAGAGATCATTGACAATATTAATACCTCATGTCCTTGCCTCGTTTTCCAAGCTCTGACACCTCCCTGCGTCTCCTGCATTCATCAGGCAGCCTCTCTCACCAGAATGCCTATAAACCGACTTGCTTTCAGGCCCAAAGCAGCCCCTAAAACAGGACTTTTCCCAATGCCAACCAGAGAGAAGGACCGGGGAACATGGCTCAGAACATGTCACTTTCCTCCACGTCAGGGCCCGTGTTCCAGGAGTAACAGCCTATTTCCTGGATGGCATCTGAGGCCCAGTTTTCATCTAGGCCAGATCCGGAGCTGGGGTTTACCATGGGGAGAGGGCAGAGAAAAAAAATCCAATCTGAATGTGCTGGGAAGTTTGCAGGAGGGAATGGATACACCCACTGGCGTGTGGTGTGTATGTGTCTGCCTTGGATTCTTTTACTCAAGAGCAAGACTGTGCTCTTTATGATATCTGACAGCCCTATCCATTTTTCTTTTTTTGTATAAAAATGCATGCTGTCCTGGTGCTGTAGAGAGATATTAACATCTCTCCGCCTCATTCTTCCAGATTCTTCATGGGTGAATTTGAGTCAATTATGCTTAAGGAAGCCCCTTGTGGATTTTCAGGAACATCTGAGACACTCCCACCCAGGCCTGTAGGGGATGCTATTCCTGGAACAGATTCTAACCAGCCAAGCCCACAGACAGGCCTGGGCATTGGGGACAATGTCAGTCCCACCCGAGGTGCTACACAGTTAAGCCCAATAAAGAGAAGAGCTCAATGGCAATAGCTAAAAGAATCATCTGGGCCTAAAGAAAGGATTCGGGGAGGTTTGATCCATGCTCAGTGTTTCCAGGCACCGGACCCAAATTCAAAAACAGAAACTGGGGATAGGGAGCTGAGGAGAAAGTGTGGCCAAGGGGGAAGTGTGGGCCACAGCAAACTTGCTCATGGAAATGTGGTAAAAAGTAGAAGGAATGAGAACATCACCAAGACCAGTTTGGAGGCCATGGGAGAGTATCATGCTCTCACCAACTCAGATTCTGTGATCCCAGCAATTCCCAGCTTTGTCCCAAGTCATTCAAACCTAGGAGCATCTGCCCTGTCCTTAAAAGTTCCGGAGTCATTTTTTAATCCTTAATTAAGAAGAAGGTTTAAAGTTCTGCAATGGAGAAATATCTCTTATACAATCACCAAATATTTACTACTTAGAACTTGTGATATGAAGGACCTGGATAATTTCAAATGCTAATTTATCCCAAATAAACAATAGCTGGTGATTGTTGGTTTCCTACTATTACACTGATGGGAAAATCATACATATAGGTAGCTATTTTTATAGGCCGATTTGTGGCTCATGAATTAATGTTTTATGGACATTTCTTTGTTGTTGTTTTTTTCTTTCTGGTTATGCACACATCAGAGACTCAAGTGCTATTAGTAACAAGACAGCTGTGGAGCTGACTTTTAAGTTTTTTCTAAAATTAGAAGAAAAAACAAGGTGGCAAAAATCAAATTGTAGTTTAAATATTTTCTTGGAAAAACTTATTTTTCCTTAATAATCCTACAAAGCTTTTATAATAACTATGGTAGGTGATTTCTTATGGATATTTAAAATGAATATTGAATTGATTAAAAGGTTTGAACTTATTCTAAAGGTGTTTTTCATAGTTAAATCCTCCCATCACTTCCTTGAGTGAAAGGAAAGCTGTATATGGAGCATACAATTACTTAAAATAAAACTGAAACTGAAAATCATGCCTAGCTGGTTTGGCTCAGTGGGTAGAGCGTTGGCCTGAGGACTGAAGGGCCCCAGGTTTGATTCTGGTCAAGGGAACATGCCGGGGTTTCAAGCTCAAACCCCAGTGTGGGGTGTGCAGGAGGCAGTCGATCAATGATTCTCTCTCATCATTGATGTTTCTCTCTCTCTCCCTCTCCCTTCCTCTCTGAAATCAATAAAAAATATATTTTTTAAAAAAAGAAAATCAAATATATTCCTACCTGAGACTACAGTTCAGCCTGTGAGAAGGATCCCTTAATGTCCAGGCTCTTGTGACTTTCCATGTGGCATGTCGTCAGCACCACCCTCTTCCTTAATCATCCCCTTAAGTGCTCGATGCCTCCTGGGAACTGGAAGGTCCTAATATTGACTCATAACAGAGGACTGAAAACAGTCACACTCAGGGAAGACTGTGCCACATCTTTTGCCTGGACTGGGCCCATCTTTAAATTCTTAATTTTCCATTTTTAGAAACTGCTAAGGGAACCTGGAGAGAGGAGAGGGTTATGCTTTCTTTTGAGGAGTAATTGGCCAAACTAGAAATGTCTCTAAAATGTGGAAGAGACATCATGGGGGAAACCACGATATTCTGGGCGCCTGTGCTCTGCTGACATTTCGTTTGAATGTCAACGGTGAGGGCAAGAAGGGAGGTTCCTTCCCTGTGGGACTTACTCCTTCTGCTGCCACCCGTGGGATCTGGACTGCGTTGTGTTCTGCTTTGCAGCACCTATTCGGTTCCTGCTGGACTGTGGTTTGTAACGACATGTCTCCTTCTCTTTGCAGGTGTCCTGGGTAAGTGTCGCTATGTTTACTATGGGAAGAACTCGGAGGGCAACAGGTTTATCCGGGATGACCAGCTCTGAAGGCAAGTTCTGTATGCTTTAGCCCATGTCATGAGGATTTGCCAGTAAGTAAAAAGGGAAAGCAGAAATAAAGAAAAAGCAGAAGAAAAAAGATAATGCCCACACGGCATCTCTGTGGGAAGGCTACCATTTCGGCTTTTGGTACCTTCTGCTGACTTCGCCAGGCCTGTCAACATCATCTTTCTGCCTTAGACTGAGTGGTCACATAGAGATTGACATGATTGCCCTTAAGCAGGTCTCATCCACCACGGTGACAGACAGCAGCGGCCAAGCACCAGGGCTGACAGGAGGAACACCATGATAGATTGCCTGGCCCTCCGGGGCTCATGGGGGAGCAGAGGTCACACCTGGGGCCTCCGTGAGCATGCTCGGTGGCTGTAATCAAGTGAGAGAGACTGTCTTCAGCTTGCCTCCTGAGTAGAGATCCCTCTCATACCATTGTCCTGGGGGTTTCTTTTTAGTGAAATAGTTGCCATTTTGAGGAAGCCCACTCTCTTTTATTCCTTGTAAGTATTTATCTCATATTCTGCATGCCCCTCCCCATTCTTTAGTATCTTTATCACAGGTTTGCAGTTTTTCAGAGAGCAGGAGGTGTACATTCTCAACCAGGCCATTCATGTATGGACAGTTTCATGTTGTCACACATTCTGAATTGGAGTAACTAGCTTTCCCTAAATCCCTGACTACAAAAGCATGGAATTGACCTTGTTCTGTTCTAAATCCATGTCTTGCCTTGAATACTTGGCAGTGTCAGGCATCTTTTCCAGCACCAGGTTCTGGGTATATCAGGGACTTTTAATATTTTTCATTCATTCATTCATTCATTCACTCACTCATTCCTTCCTTCCTTCCTTCATTCATTCACTCATTCATTTCTAACCACACGTACCTCCTGCTATATCTATGGCCATAGTTGTGTTTGGAGCTAGCTTGCTCCTTTGGGTGCTATTTCAAGGTAGCAAGATGATAAAAGAAAGTGGTGCATCAGAAGAAAAGAGAGAAGGGAAGACTATAGAAAATGTCTACCAAACCAAACCAAGTTTTAATGGATGCCACAAATCCTTTCAATTTGGTATCTTTCTCAGGACCTCTCAGAAATTAAATCCATAGCTGGTGTATCTTGGACCATATTCCAGCACCAATGTTTCAAGGAAAATAAGCATGATAAGACTGTTTGGGGGACTTTAGTGTCATTTAATATATTAGTACAGCAGTAAAATCGTTCTGGAAGATACTGGAAAGGTTGGTTGCTTCTGACATGACAACATTTATTTTTGCTTCTATTTAGACCTGGTGTCCATTGTATCTCCCAGTTTTGTTTAGTTTGAGGACAGAAAAACCTGAAAGAGAATCCATCTAGTTATAGGTACCAAATAACTAGAGTTGCTATTGTTAAACTGTTTGGGGAGTCAGGATCCCTGAAACACCCAAGAAGAACCTGCTTTCTCAGTTCTAGCCCATTTACATGGACTCAGGTACTGAGTCAACACAGTCCTTGGATGACTTGCATGGGGCCTGGCCGGAGTCCCTCTTGTAGATTATGTAACCTTTGATCATCAGATATTTAGCTTAAAATCCTCAAGACCATTAAGGGAGGATATTGAATGTCTGCCTTTATTTCTCAAATCCATGAATAACCAGAGTCAAGTACCTTTTTTTTTGTTTTTGATCTATAAAACAGCATTGGGATAATGCTTTAAATTAGCTGCATTGGGTCCCACCCTAGTTCTTTGTTTTGTCCTTGGCATATTATGGGCAGCCAGAGTTCTGCGCAAGGGCAGCTAGACGAGTCCCATGTCATATCCAATCTCGCGGCACATATATCCTTGTCTTTATAAAAGGCTTTAACCCTGCCTCAAACAATAAAAAAGCACTTGTGAACTGACCACAGAATTTTTCCATCTTTATTTTTCTCACTTGTTTACTTTTCTTAATGTCAGAACCATTTGTATCATACGCAGGAATGTCTCCCTCAGTGAGAGCTTTGGAGGCAAAAAATATTTTTGGAGTGAGTTATTGACCACATTGTTTCCCTCTCTTTGGGTTGTTTATGTTCTTCCAAAATGGTGTAATAACTTTAATTAAGATTAGCTTTAATTATAACTTACGCAAAGCCATCACTACAGTATATTCATCTTAATAATAGGATTATAGTGAGTTTTGTTTCTCTTAAAAAGGGAATATGGTAATGAATTCATGTTGGGTCATTGGCGATTCCACTGTTTGTTAAGCAAGATTTGCTGGCCTGGAGTTATTGGTCTGCACTGGTAGAGAAGGAAGCCATGTTGTGTGCTTATCTTAACTCCATAGAAATTTCTCAAACCTTGTTTTACAAAGTAGAGGATTAGAAGGTAATAAGTTCAATCAAAACTCATATATCTTTCATATGCTTTTTTTCTACACTTGGTCTTTCTGCTTTTTACCCTGTTCCACCGAGCGTTTTCTTTGGGGACCATGGTGTCCCTGAGTCCTCTCTCCCAGGATGCTGATCTGACTTGAAAGCAACCTCCATCCTGGAGTCTTCTGTTGCCTCAGCAAACTCAGGGCGGACTGCCTTCTTCCTAAGGAACATAATTTTACAGAACAATTTGTTCCTTGAGGAATAATGTTTTAGATTGTGGGGAATCCTATTAAAAGTACAACTATTACAATCATTTGCTTTTACTTTTACCAGCCTTGCTCATAAACCCTCCATCTGTTTGTGGCTTTAAATAGAGGCACATTATAGGAGATTATCACTCGATCAGGCTGCACATCTGAGTGTGGTGCACTTTCACATACTCATGTGTAGCAAGGAGTAAAGGAAAGCAAGCCACAGACTCTGATGGAGGGATTTTTTTTGCTTGGTTTTTCCATTTTTATTAGTGTGTGTGTGTGTGTGTGTCTGTGTGTTGGGTGGGGAGGGTTTCCATCAGAGATGTAGCTTGCAGAGTTTCAAGGGGAAAATGTCTTTCTTGCTTCTTCTAAGAAGTAATTTGACTGTCTTTGTTTTTTTGTTAATATGCAGATTAACAGGGCTCTTTTCATCAAAACAGTAGCAGTGTTCAGTAGTCACGACTTACAAGAGCAGCCTCAGTCACACCTGCATCACTGCCCACTGCCCGGGGTGGATAGCGCAGGGCCCATAGAGGGTGTTCCATGTTGTCTGTCCATCACAGTTGACCTAATGTGACATTCACCAGCTGCTTCTCCCAGTTCTGTTTCCCACAGAAAGCCTCACCAAAAAAGGTTGTTTCCATTGCCTGATTCAGCTCTAATTGGCCCAAATACCATGTTGTAAAGTGACTAAGACCTGAAACAGGAAATGAGACCAGAA